CCTCTGCCTGGACTTAAGTTCTTGGACAAGTGCCTTTTCTTCTAGGCTGATCCATTTTAGGAAATGGATGGTTTGGGGCTGCCTACGCCCACTGGGACATCTCTTTTATAATGGGCAATTTCTTCCCAAGCCAGTCATTCTGCAAATCACCAAGGCACCCTCCCAAAATTGCGCATGCACCCACGGCCCCAGTGTTTGGGAGCCCCCGGTGTGCAGAGAGCTGATGATCACTGCTGACTAGAAGCATGATGGTTACCCGGTGTGGGTGCCCCAGCCCTCAAAGCCGCCGTTTTCCTGAATCTGAAAAGCCCAAAGGATGGCAGAGGAGTGAAGCAGCAGCACAGCTAAACAGCTGCGCTTCTCCTTTCCCCGAGAGGGCTTCGCGACGCCTCCGGTGTGCCGAACACCCTCCATTAAAAACAAACAACAAGCCGCGACCATTTGGTTCAATAGAAAATGAATTGCAGTAAATTAAAACGGCCCACGCCATGTGGCTCGGGGAGGTGGCCCATTGTGATCCACGTGGCAAATGGCACATTCTTGTTTACTCCGCTAACGGGCGACAGCTTGAGGGGTGTGTTGTAGAAAGGGGGGTGCGGCAAGCAGGAATATTTTGGGAAGAAGTTTAGGAAAGGGCAGGTGTTTGCATATTCCCAATTGCTGTGCATGGGTGGGGAAGCTGGACAGTGAAGAAACCTGACAGGGAGAAAATGGATGGTGTTCGCAACACGGTGCCGGAGGAGAGCTTTGTGAATCGCCTGGATGACAGACAGGCAAGCAAGCTGCTCCTGCTTCGATCTGGATCCGATCAAGCCACAACCGAGGCACCGGCTCGACATGGTTTGGGCACCGAGCCCTTTTGCGGGTGCAAGAACAATTATAGCACTTATCGTTTTATTAATGCACTGTTGGTGTTGTTGTATTTTATTGTAAAACACCCAGAGAGCCCTCTGGGCTATGGGGCAGTAAACCAATGTAATAAAGCCGCTGACCCTCAAAGTCAAAACGATGAAGCGTAAGGGAGGCTTGTGGCTGCTGGGGTAGGCTAAAAATCAAATTAATAACATAATAATACATGCATACATGAAGCAGAGGCTGAAGGAGGAACCAACTATGAGAGGGACTGACTCCTCATGAATCTGTCCAGCCCCTTGTTAAAGACACCCAGACTGGCGGTCATCACCTGTGGCAGTGCATCCCATAGTTCAACGGGATGCTGTGTGAAGACGCCCTTCCCTTGATCTGCCCTAAACCTCCCACCAGTCAGCTTCATGGGATGACCCTGTCCCACCTTCTCCACACCGTGTATTCCCAATTATTCCTCCCCTTCCTCGCCATTTTTTCCTAAGCTAAACAGCCATGGGTGTCATAGCTGCTTCCATGGGGGAGTCACTCCAGCCCCCGACGACGACTGTTGTTGCCCTTCAGCAGGTGCACAACGCAGAAGGGGCTGCCCCCTTTCCGCATGGAACACCTTCAAGCAAGAGAAGGTCTCAGCGGTTTAACTGCCACCATTCCAGATTTAAGGTTTTGCTACTGCTGCATCAAGCCCTAAACAATTTGGGACCAGAAGGACTGGAGTGCGTGGCTTTTCTCTCATCAGGCTTGCCTGGTCACAGAAGACAACTTTAAAAAAGCGATTGTAGTTTAATTTTTTTAAAGACAAAAAAGCCCTAAATCAAAGAAAGCAAAGGGGAAGGCCTTGGGAGAGGCAGTTCGAACTTTCAGAATGAGGAGAAAGTGATACAGAAGCCAATGCACAGGAGCCAATGCAAATCTTTTAAGGATTTTTTTTTAACATTTAGCCTGTGGCCCCTTTTAATTGTTTTTATAGGTGTTTAATCCATTATGTTTTAATTGGTTTTTAATGTGTTTTTACTGTTAATATGTTTTATGCATTGTAAGCTGCCTAGGAAGGCCTCGGCAATTATAGGAGGCCTATAAATACATGTAAATAAATAAATGAATAAATAAATTTGGTGAAAAGTGGTGTGGCCACGTGCTGAACCAGGAGGCCAAACTGGGACCCTGGAGGGCTTGATTTGTTCCACAGGCTGAAGGCTCCCTACCCTTGACAAAGTTTGTTGGGAGCCAGTGTGGTGTAGCAGTTAAGAGCACGGGGCTGGGACTCAGATGGCCTGGGTTCTAGTCCCTGTTCTGCCATGCAGCCAGCTGGGTGACTCTGGGCCAGTCACGGCCTCTCAGACCAGCCTACCTCACAGGGTTGTTGTTGTTGTGGGGAGAAGACTGAGAGGAGAGCAGGAGGACGATGCTGTGAACTGCTCTGAGTTCTTTAAAAGCAAAAAGGTAGGATATACAACTAATAATAATAATGGCATCTCCATTTTCATGGAAAAGACATCCCGTATGAAGTCTGCTGCTGGAGATCACTGGGACTCTTCTGGGCAGTGGCGAGTGGCACAGCCTGACCCAAAGCTGCACGGCCGGAAAAATATACAGAAGCCCTAAAGGTTCACGGAGGTCAAAACCAGCGAGCACTTGAGCACAGCACCAGGGGTGGGATGCCGTCCACAAGTTTCACGCCCGGAGCCTTCCCAAGGCCTTTGTTTGCACGGAAGACCCCCACACGCCCGCCTCCCCCGCCCCCCACCCGACAAGCCAACCCCATTTGTGACTCAAGACAGATCAGCATCCCAACAAAAGGGGCATTTTCAGAACGAGGCATCTGTGCCGTGGACCATTAGAGCGCCCCTGACAGATGCAATCTGACCAGCCTCCTGGTGTGGTTGCAAATACAGATGCAGTCTCTTTCTTCTTTTGGACAAAGATTGATGGGGACCTGGGACGGCTCTTAGACGAGCAAGCAAAGGCTGCGCACTTCTTCCAGCTCTGCCATTTGTCTTGGACTGCCTATTTGCATCGCCTGAGCGCTGGGTCGCTTCCCCTTCCCCGCAAAAGCTGAATGACGCTGTGACCCTGCCCATTAATCTCCTCAAATAAAACCATCTCCCTCCTCCTCATCATCATCATCAGAGGAGAGGGGAATTGTTGGATTACGGCCAGAGATAAATTAATAGCCCTTCTGAGTTCCCTGGTGCACAGGAGCAACCTGTTCCTACGCCAGCTCCTCGCGCAGACCCCATCCTGCTCCCGGCTTGAAATTTCAGCAGAGCCTCGATAACAATGATGGCACGTGCTGGATATGGATGTTCCCATCTATCTTCTTCACAAAAGGGCTTCAGCGCAAATGGAAAGGGGGGAGATGAAGGCAAGCAGAGAGGCACGGGGGAGGGGGGACCAAGCAATCATCTATATTTCTCCTTAATTCTGTCAACTTTCCTCTAATTGCACGCCCAACATTCACTGATCTGAGAACCCAGGAAGTTGTTATAGACCGAGTTAAGCTGTGCATCCACCTAGCACAGAGCTGCTCACTGGAATGGGGGTGGGGGGGATTTGGGCTGTGACCCCCACCGCCTAACAGCGTGGATCCGTAATCCCCTGCCAAAATTTGTGCCAGGAAAATCAAAACAAACACAACCCTAAGCGAGTGAAAGCAGTTGCTGGTTTACTGCTGAGTTTCGGTGGCAAACAGCTTGTGGGTGCTGAAAGGGCCTGATTCTGCTTGCAAGCTTGGCCACTGGGGCGCTTTGGAGCGGTTTGCCAGTGAAAATCTGGGGCAAGTTGTTGACTTTTGGGGATACCTTACGAAAATCCACTGGGGGCCCTGCAGCTGGTGGCCTGTGAGGGCAGGAATGGCCCCTGGACCCCCAGTGTTGCCCACCCTTAGTGTACCATGGCCAAGGTCTTAGAGACCTAATAAGGTCCCGCCAAAGCCCCATGACTGGCACCAGCCTTCTGGTCTGTCAAGACCAAGTATTCAATTAGCTTTCATTAGAGAGGGAGACTTCCCAGCGGTGGAACTGCAGCTGTGGAATTCTTTCCCCTGGGAGGTCCAACAAAACTTTGTGACCTGATTCGTCTGAAATCCAAGACGAGTATGAGAACATCTGGTCACTTTTCTTGAAAATTTATGTGCCACAGCTGGCGGCACAAGATACTTTATTTATTTATTATTGTTTATTGAATTTGTTTAAAGCTGCCTCGTAGCATCATGCTTGTTTACTTTCCATTTATACAGTAAAAATGACTCTTAACCCATCTTTCTGATGTTCACACTGCACGGTCCTAACCCCTTTGGAGTGTATTTTAAAACACTATTTTATGTGTGTTGTCCTAGATCTTACGAGATCTTGTACAATTTAAAACCACATGGCAGTTAAACCGTGTGGTGTGATGTTTAGCATGCTGGAACAGAGATCTGGATTCTAGTCCCCTCTTGGCCTTGACGTTTGCTAGGTGACTTTGGGCCAGTCACTCACTCTAGCCTACCTCATAGGGCTGTTGTGATGACAAAACAGTGCAGAAGGACTAAGTTAGTGTGGGTTCCTTACCAGCTGAAAAAGGTGGGATATAAAAGCGATGGAATAAGAAGAATGACAGATTCCTTACCTCTTTCACAACAGAAGAATGTTTCCATTCTCCCCATAAGCACCTTCTGATTTATTTCCATTGATTAAAAAGTGGTTTTAAAAGACTGTCTTTTTCCTATCTAGTCTCATTTTTTAAAAAGTTTTCATTGTGTTAGATCATTATTATATCTTTTCTAAGCCTCTTGGAAAACTACTGAGAAGCAGGGATAAAATTAAATAAGCATGACAGAAAGCTAGCATGTCGCAAGGAAAAATGCATATGCTGCTTTTATGTGCAAGGATTCGCGGCTGCTATTTTTTGTGTAGAGCAATATCCTGTTAGGTGAGGCCCCCAAGCACGTGACCTGAAACGTGATTGCCCACTGGACTGAGCAACTCAGCAAGGGCTGGGTGTGAAATGAACGTGCAAGGATGCACGGGTGCTTTTGCACTCCCGTTCCTTCAGCGGAAAAAGGACATCAGAACTCTCCAGCCCAAAAAAGAAAGTCTGGGAGAGGAAGGAAAGGGAGCTCCGGCAATGCACGGGCAGGATCGGCGCTCGCTTACCTTAGATTTAACAGCCAGGATGATTTTCGGCAGTGCGACAACCAGGCACTTCAAGGCGATGGTGAGGTACTTGAGGACGAAGTCCGTGATGCCCACAATCCACATGAGATCGAAGAAATCCACCTTCTCCAGGTTAGGCTTCAGAAATATGAGGCTGAAAGAGCAGGGGGACGTGAGGACTGGCGAACGGCTTGTCACGTGCCAGGTATGATCAAAAGCTCTTCTGGTGTCATCCGTGGCCCGTTCAGGCGGAAAGCAGGGCCACCGTTCCCAGCTTGTCCCGGGCACCACGAGGCCTGCTTTCTGCCCCCAGTGTGCTGCCGAGGCTCCTTCCAAGAAAAGCGCCAGGTGGACCGAGGGCCTGTGCGAGGGATACGGGCCTTCCCGCTTGCAGGTGTCCCCTGGCCTGGCAGGGACCTCAGGCTAGCCTGCAGAGCCCGTCGTCTCCAGCTGGGGGCTGGGGATGATGGCCGAGATTCCCAGCGGAGGCGGAAGAAGGGCACGAGGCACCTCCTTGGTTCCGGGACAGGAGCAGAGAGTGCCATATGTCGCCACTGGTGTGGACAGCCGAGTTGCTTCACCCGCGGCATTCCTGAAAGGACGTGGCCAACTCGATGCGAACGCCCTTCTCCCCACTGGGACAATCCACCCACCCCTACATTATCTGCCAGCCCGACCTGCGAAGTCACAGCGCTGCTACAAGCTCAGTGTAACCAGGGCCATTACCCAGTTATTTATTTGAATGAGATGTACACGCCACCGTTTTTCTCCTGCAGGGAGTCCAAGGTGGCTTACACAGCCCTCCTTCAGTTTATCTTCACAACAACCCTGTGAGGTAGGCTAGCCTGAGACTCCATCACTGGCCCAGAGTCACCCAGGGAGCTCCATGGTGAGTGGGGACTTGGGCCTGCAGCGTCTCCAGAGCTCCAGTCCTGCACTTGAGCCATGACACCACGCAGGGCTTAGAGGTGATGGGCCTCAGGAATCAGTGAAACAGGCTGGAGAATGCTAAGAGGTAAGCGGTTTATCTTCCTGTCTAAAATGCACAGAGTTGGTGTCCTCAGCTTTCCTGCCATTGAAGGATATTTTTCCACCTTCGTCTGGAAGAATTTGGGGCCTGGGGGAGCAATCTTGCAAACCGGTATAGAAATGAGTAACTGAAAAGGGCAGAGACCCAAAGTAAGATACTCACAATATGGTACAGCAGAACAGGTAAAATTAAATCCTAAAAACAAAACAAAAGCAAAACAAGGTGGGAGATAAAACACATTTGAGATGAGAAAGCAAAAAGGAGGCATATGAAGTCCATAAGCAACATCAGTTAAGGAAATGGGATGAAAACTGAAATGATGGACCCAAGTGAGAGAAACGGCCATGCGGATTTTGGGCTGATGGAGGAGATGGGTAGGTGACAGTGCCATGGGGAAAATTCCCAGTTCCTGTATGAAGCCAAGCACCCCTCTCTCCCGAGCAATATATGCATGGATTTACAACATGGAGATGCTTCGGAGGCCACCCTCCAGGGCTGAGAGAGGCCAAAGGTAAAGGGATGAAGGAAAAATACCCCAAAGACAAGCCCATTTCACCCTAAATGCACTGGCTGCTGGAAATGTAGTGGTGCAAATGTACAAAAATCCGACCAAGCAGCGCCTGGGGGATAGCAAGTCGCAACCCTCTGGGTGCAGAGAAGGGACTGTCTTCTCTTCTCCTTCCAAGCATGTCAGAAGAAAACTAAAGTTTCATTATATTAAAGCTGGCCAGGAACGCATGTTCTCTGCTCACCTGTTATACAGCTGCTGGGAGCTGAACGTATAGAGCAAGTAGAAGGTGTTTCCTGCGAGAAAGACCAGGATCCAGAACACAACCAGCACGGACCTTTTCTCCTAAGGAAAGAAAGACCAGAACATGACCCCCACGGCTTCTAGGATTTCGCCACAGCTTTGCAGCCATAAGGGCTAGTAACTTGCTTTTAAAAAGGAAACAAAGAGAGGAGAGCGCTCTAAGCTGCTTTTTACTGCTGCCTCTGTTTCCCTCCCCATACGGACTGTTGGATAGTATGTTCCTCCAGATGAGCCCCTGTCCCTTTCAAGTTCACAAAAGCAATGCATCCCTCCTGCACCCACAAAGTGCAAACAAAATACACGGCAATCCTCAGCCAGTCCTTCAGCTGCTGGTTCCCAAATGTCAGTTGGTTTCAACCCCACCTTTGGAAGGAACTCCCTCGTAGCTCACTGGGCCTCCCTTTAACCTGCCCTTTCTGGAGCTACTCTTGAGGAATCCCTGCTCTGCACCCACCTTCAAGGAGACTTGTTCCCGGAGAGTCGAGTTTGCATATGCAAATGTGCTGGCCATGCCGATGCAAAGAGCAATTCCTAGAGGAGGAGAGGACAGGGAGCTGTAAATCACGCACGGACCGGCCAGGAGCTGCCTCAGCCCACGCTCACACCCCTGGGAGTTCCACGTCCTTCGCACCCATTCCACATCTGTGTAGTGCTCTTCCAGCAATCTCTTTCTCTCTCTTTCATCTGCCTTTCTGCCAAAAATGGTCCCCAATGTGGGTGACAGAAGCAATGAAACTGGATTAAATCAATGATGCCTTAAAATATAGTAATATGTAACAACTACAGGAAAAGAACGATTAAAACCAGCACCCACTGAACAGATCCACTGACAGCCTTCTCAGTTCAAGTTCAGCTTGCCTCTTGCGTCTGAAATACCTTGGGAGAGAGCAGCGCACCCTGGGAGCAGCCACCAGAGGCCCTCTTGGCCCCCTCTAGGGCAGGCAGGGGTCCTCAAACCTTTTCACTAGGGGGCCAGTTGAAAGCTGCCGGTGCTGGTGCGGGCCGGAAAGGCGGTGCCTGGCGCTGCGCACGGCGGGCGCATGTGGCGAGGGGGGCGGGCACGAGCCGCAAGGTAGCGGCTTGCTTGCTGGGGGACTGTTTCCTCCGAGCGGGCAAACCGCTGCCTCCCACTCGCAGGTCCAAATGGGCATGGCGGGCCGGATAAATGGGCATGGTGGGCCGGCCCCGGCTCCGGGGCTGCAGCTCGAGGACACATGCTCTATGGGATGCCCCAGTCTCAAAGGAAGAGTTTGGCCAGAAGACCTGAAGCACCAGGCAGGCGAAAGCGCTCCGCCAGACAGGCCTCGGAGAGCCGAGCTTCCCCGCATCCATGTCACCAGGTGCCCTTGTTCCTCATCCGGTTTCTCACTGGGCCAGGGAGCATGGGCACAATGGCACCGGCCCCCCTGCTGCGGCCTGGACCAGAGCGAGAGGCGGGCGAACGAGCAGGCTGCATGGGGAAGAGGAGCCAGCCTGGGAGGGTCTTGCCGGGGGGCCCCGGTGGGTGTGGGCCTCAGCAACTGCCTGACCAGGCCCACCCTTGGCACCTTCCGTGCAGCCAGCTGCTTCTGGATCTGCTTGTAAGTTGCTGCATACTGCCCCGAAGGCCATCAGAAGGGTGGGATATTCATTGCCTTAATGAATCCGTAAGGTCAAGTCAGCGGGAGCTCAATGTTTTTGGCAGCAGCCTTGCACCGAGAGGGTCGTAGCACCGCTCCCTGACCAGGATCCGTCGGATAAACCCTCCCCAGTGGCGCATGCAGCCTGAGGATCAGCCAGCCGGGTACGGAATGCTAAGCCCAAGAGCCAGAATCTTTCCCATGATGCTCGGGAGGAAGAGGCAGGTCTTGTCCAAGCGTTCCTTAGAGCCCCTGGCTGGTCTGTAGGGACCTTGCCTTCCAGTCCAGCAGGGAGATTAAAATCCTACAATCACGGGGCTTACCAAGCTTGTGCTGGAAGCAGACTTTGGCCATGAGGATCACGATGAACGGGAGCCCCTTCTGCAGCCAGGAGATCACAGCTTTCAGCTCGGAGAGGGCCGGGGCCGGGGTCCCGGGCGGGTCCTCCGGGCCCTCCTCCGAGTGCCCGTGGCGGTCCCCGCCGGCCATGTGCAGCAAGCCCGACCCACGCTGGTGGCTGTGGTGGTAATGGAGCGACTGCTGGCGGTGGTGATACGGGGCCCCTTCTGTCCGGCTGGCCCCCTCGTCCCGCGAGGCGGGCATCTGGATGAACACCTCCCCGCCGCCTGCCGAGGAGCCCAGGACCAGACTGGACGGGAACGGGGCGGCCGAGATCGCGCCCGACGGGATGCCCGCCAGCCCCGAGAACAGCTGCTGCGGAGAGGGCGCTTCCGTCTTGAGGCCTTCGAAAACGCCGCCTTCCTCCACGCTCGTCTCGGAGGTGATGACCTGACTCCGGTTTCTGGCACATAAACACACGCACAGACGAGAAAAGCGCATCCACGTTCATCCCCCAGGTCGAACGTTCCTAGTTCCTAAACCTGCCTCCACATTCCTACCTGGGGATGAAGGAAGGCAGGTTCACACCTGCCTCCCCCCCACCCCATCCCGCGTGCCCAGGGAAAAGGGACTTGGATAAATATACCCTGACGGTAATAGTGGAGCACCTTTCAAGCTGAGGGCTGGACAGCCACCTGAGGGGGGGCTTAATTTGGCGGACTACTTAGAGCAGGGGGTTGGACCCGATGGCCCTCTGGCCACCTGCAACTCTACCGTTCTGGGACTCTATGGATCTATTCTGAAGAACCGTGTGGGCGTGGACTCAAGCTAAAAGGGGTGGAGCCTAAGGCAAAGGGGCGGGGCCGAATACAAACAAGTCCAGCATATTTTTACTTAAAGCTCATACGAATAAAACAAAAAACCTTTCTATTTGATCGCTATTTGAATCAATTAATGTTTTAGATGTTTTAGGATTTTATTTTATTTGTTTCCTCTTTTTCACAGGCACATTTTATAATGATGCTATACTGATGTTTTATATTGCTTTAATAATTAATGTTTTTATAGTAGTTTTATATTTATTGTATTTTTATATATTTTGTAAGCCATCCTGAGCGCTTGAAGCAATAGGACAGGGTATAAATGCACGTAATAAATAAATAAATCCAATGCCTCAAGAGAGGCATTGTAATTCTTTAAAATGGGAGACGCTTCTAAGAGGATCTATAATCTAACAATACTCATTCTGCATGTGGGGATTCTCTGCTTGGACAAAATATCAGACAGAAGATAATCATGTAGAGCTTTTATTGTTGATTAAACCAGAAACAGGACAGTGGGTCAAATTACCCATTTCTTGTGGAGGATGTAGGCTGTTCTTCGAATGAAAATTCTGCCCTGAATTTAATTCTCTTTCTTACCATGCCTTTTAACATGTCACACAGAAATCTCAAATAAAATGTAGCCTGCAGTGGTTCAATACATGTGGAATTAAAACACTGTAAGGTGCAAAGAGAACAGGAAGGAAGATGAAGAGGTGGAGAGCTAGCGTGGTTAGTCATGGACTGGGGCTCAAGAGAGATCAGGGTTCTAGTCCCTTTTCAGCTCTGAAACTGGGTAACTTTTGGACCACTTTCTACTAACCTACCTCACTGGGTTGTTGTGAGGATACTAGGGGGAAGAAGAGGCTCATGTAACCCACCTTGGGTACCTTGGAGGAAAAACAGTGGAATATAAATGTAATACTAAATTGTTTCTTCCAAATATTGTCTATGTGCTAACTTCACAACAATCAGCCTATTTAAGAGAGCTCTATCTTGGATTAGAGAGCAAATAATTTTGTACTTAATTGGATATAGTTTAATCCTCATGAAATAAGTATATGTACAGCAGAAACTGAATAAGAGTATACTTATTAAAGTTTAGGGAATACATGGGCATCATTTAACTTTAGGAATTTCAACTCATGCTCCAGAAATTAATATTGCATACTTTTAAAAAGCTAGAGGCTGGAAATTATACTGTCTGGTCAGAAGGTAACTGAGTTAAGTTTAATTATTTTAAGGAGCACTTATTTGTTTGCTAAATTAATAAGCAGAAATATAATACCTACCCCTTAAATTTCCATCACTTGTGGAACAGAAATTATATCCAAGATATAATTCATACAGCCGAGTGAGTGAATTTGGCTAGTTTTTATAACCCATATGGAAAAATGATTACACTCTGGGACACAAAAAGATTGATCTCAGCAATCTATAAATTATTGTGTATAAGTAATAGGAGCACAGAGGAAATCAAACCGAAATGGGAAAGAGAATTTGGGAAACTAATATTGGAAGAACAATGGAAGGCTGTGTGTCCAGCTCCCTCTGATGTGCATCTAAAATATCCTAAATATTTCCAGGTGCAACTCACCTGTGTTGGCAAAGCAATAATATTTGCACACACACTGTAGCATTATAATTTAGTCAGGCAATACCAGACTAAAGTTGTAAACAGCATTAAAATAATGACTAGTTTTGAATTACAATTAAATCCTATCGCCATACTCTTGCAACCTACTATAAATCAGATACCTAGAGATTATATGGTAATAGCGAGATACATGTTGAAAGCAGTACCAATTTTATTAGCTGAGTCCTGGCGAATAGCTCATATTCCATCAGTCGATCAGTCGTTGGGAAACATTTTTATGAGTAAGACCATAAACTGTTATGGAATGGGCAGATGAACTCACTCCAAACTTTTCAGAAAAACTGGTCACAACTGATCAATTACCAGAATGCATATAGATCCAAAGAACATGAAACATAGAAACAGAGCGAGTCAGAAGGGGTCTCCCGGGCCATCTAGTCTGACCTCCGGCACCAGCTGGCTCCATTCATGACATGCCCACCATGTGCACGTCCAGCCTATCCTTGAACACCCGCACCGATGGGGCCCGTGGAAGCCCATTCCACACCCTCAGGGTCCTAACTGTCTGGAAGTGCTTCCTGGCATCCAAATTGAACCTTGGTTCCTTGAGCAAGTATCAGATACTCAGACACATGACTGAGTACCTTGAAGTTGACATATAAAGAAATTTTGCATTCAGGACATTTAAAAAGTAAAGAAATGTTTTCAAGTATATAAAAATCGCAACTGGCAAGTAGCACCTTAAAAGAGGTATTGCTGTGAAGGAATACCTTACGTGCGAGAGGGAGGGAGGAAAAATGGAATTAACAGTCAGAACAGGGAATGCCTCCTCTAAGAAAATGATGGTTGAACACAGGCAGCCATGCAAAAGCAAAAAAGTATTACTTTCTATCTACCGTTTCCCCCATTGGAAAAACCTATGCAAATAAACCGAGTTGTCTTTGCAAATCATGAACTAAAGCCACAACCCTAAGGAAATTTAAGTGACACTGGCAGCAAGACGGGGCATGCTGACCAGTGTGAGCCATCTTTTTGTCTCAAGTTGCATGGGACTGCATTCTAAAACTTACACAACCAGCCAACCAAGATTCATTTAAACAGGTAGTAGTTGCAGTGGGGTGGAATATACCTAATACAGAGAAAGCGATTTTTCAAGAGGCAAAAACTAATATATGACAACAACAGCCTGAAGCTCAAATAAACATTGCCGAGCCACAAATTCTCTCCGGACCTCAGTCCTGCTGGGATTCTCCAAGTTTAGAGCTGGTGTAGTCCCTCTCCATAGAGTTCATCAGACCCCCGGGACCATTTCCGTGGCTCCAAGTCCTTCTCTCCAAAACTAAGCAAGCCTTGCAGGGCACCTCTCCCCCACCGAGACTCAAGAAAGATGTTTATAGCTACTCCCAAAGGCGAAGCTTGCCAATATACAAAATGGATTTAAGCAATTAAGTACCTCGTATCTGGCTTTATGGCCCCCAATTAATGGAACGCTGCTCGTAATAGAATCTCCCAGGGATTAGTGGTAAAGCCACGAGGCACTAACTTCCCCATCTCCAGGAACATGCGAAACACACACAAAGTATCTGAAAGGTATCCAGCAGCACAATCCAATACTATGGGGCTTCTCTAGAGTAACACTCCCAAGGGAGGCACCAAGGAAAAGCTTCACTTTGAAAAATACGAGCAGGGCACATGCTTTAAAAAAGAGAAGTATTCTTAACCTGACATTGTTGATCGCATGTCTTTGCAACCCAGATAGTTATACATTTGTGTGTGGCTTCCCAGATAAAGAAAAATCCTTGGAATTGGTGTGCAAGCAATTAAAAAACCCAAAACATGCATAAAAGCAATGGAAAAAGTCAAATAATGTGCACGAACAACCAAACGGATGGAGAAACAAAGACAAAAAAAAAAAACAATATTCTTTCATCCAGAAGCAGTTCCACCACATAAAACTGCAAGAGCCAAGCTGCATGAGACCAAAGGCCTATCACAGGTGCTCACACAATTTTTGGCCAGGTGGAGAGAGAAAGAGAGCACTTTCTCAAAATGACTGCTAGGGTTGATATAGACCTAAGACCTTTTTATTTAAACGATATTTTAATAATGTTTAATATTAACTATAGGTTTTAATTATGTAGCTGGAATGAATCGGGTTTTTAATTTGTATAATCTGTATTTTTGGTATTATATTTATTTATGTAAGCCGTTCCAAGGCGTTAAGCGATGGGACGGCATATAAAAACTCTAAACAAACAAACAAACAAACACAGTCACATGACCAGACCCAAAACACCTATTTCCCAGAAGACAACTGGGTAAGGCTAAAAAACGCTAGCCCAAAAAGGGAGGGGTGGGGTCTAAGCTCTTGGAAAGGGCCCATAGTTCCATCTCAGCTTGTCACTCAAAAGGCCCCAGGTTCCAACTCCAGGTAGGCCTGCAAAAATTCCTGCCTGAAACCTGTAAAGCTGCTGCCAGTCTGTGTCAACACCACTCGGCTAGGTGGAGCGACAAAGAGCAGTTCTGTCTATTACTCATATAGGACCGTGAATTTCGTGGCCTTCAGGCAAATCCCTTTCACCTGCCTGTGGGGCACTCAACTACCAGTTCCGTCCTTCTCACCCCATCCGTGCTCCACAACCGCTTTGACATTCCTGACCTGTTAGAGCACAACTCACAATGTTTGTCCACCCTGTTTTTCAAGAGAGATACACTGCATGTGGGAAGCTACAGATTCCCGGTTCCCACAGTTCCGGTTCCCGGTTCCCACAGATCTTCTGCATGGTTAGAGCATGCAGAAGATCTCAGGTTTGAGGTGTGGCATCTCCAGGTAGGGCTGGGAAAGACCCCCAGCCTGAAAGTCTGAAGAGCCATTGCTGCCAGTCCGTGTCAGCAGTACTGGGCCAGATGGACAGTGAGGCCAATGGAAGCCTCTCTGCCTTCAGCAAACGGTGCCACCACTGAAAACGCTCTCTCTGTGGTACACAGACCCGAATGCCACGCTAGCCTGCATCACACCCAACAAGACTGGCTTACCGTTCTGGAGGAAGGCTATCCGTGATGCTGCTGTGCCGTCTCTGCATCTTCCTGAGCACTTTAAAACACAACACGCTCAACATGAACTTTGCAGAGCAACTGGGTCTGATGCCTAGGGACTAGTGGCGAGGACGGGAGGAATACGGAAGCGCAGACGCCCATCCGCTCAGTGACAATCGTGCACGAAAAACTGCATGGAAGACCGTCCCAAGGTAAGGATGGAAAGCGGCACTCTGGAACTTCACCGCAAACGCATTAGCCACATCCAGCAGAAAAGTGGTCGCCAAGAAGGACCGGAAAGAGTAGGGTTTTCTCTTTGCTCACAGGAAGTTTAGAATGCAGAGGGGTGTGAGTTAAGTGATGGAGAAACTAAGGCTTCCACTGGCTTCCCTCCAGGTTTTTCATTCCTGCAAAAGGTTAGTGAGGCCCAAAGAAAGAAGAGGAGAGAAAAAGAGGCAGACGGTAGAAGAAAAATCAAAGCAAACAGGCTTCTCAGTATATGGTACACTCCTTTCCATGCAGTCTCAGGGTTTGCCTCTGGCTCTGACAAAGGGTGTTCTGCATCATGAAACCAATAGGGACATGACAGAGGTGTTGTTGGGAATGAAAGGGACGGTTATTCTTGGCGTGCGCTCGAAGGTTGGGTAGATTTGGACTTGTCTCATGGCAAGGGGCCCTGGGAACCAGAATTCTCAGATGCTGGAATGGGAGAAGTGGGGAGGCTACTCTCAAGGGCACCCTCCCCAGGTCCTCAGAACATTGAGAATACTCAGGATTTACAACAGCAAGGAGGCAAGGGAAAAATTCTGCTGTCACCCCAGTCTTGCACAACTCTGGACCCCATGATGTAACTTCAGGAGAAACGGGCTGGCCTACTAGAGGCGTGATGGACAGAGAAGAGGCTTGCCCACCTCCAAAGAGGACATCCCATAGGCAGGGACCCCAGGAGTACTCAAAGGGAGAATGCTTGGAAGTAGTTGCTAGACTGGGTTCAACAAACCGCCCTGGGCATGCTCTGGGGCTCATTCTTGGCTGGCTGTACCTGCTGGAAGTACACTGGAGAATAAAGAGCTTTTGCCAAAGAATGGTTTGTGTTTGGAAAGGCGAAGAAAAGGGGGCAGCTGGCTTATAACAGGTTTGAAGAATGTGTTTCCCCCTCTCCTAACATTAGAAGATGGGCATCAGACTGAAAGGAGGGAAATACATCTGTCACAGGCCATACTACATTAGGGGGCTTGATGGAAGTACCGTTGCTTCAGAGCAGCAAGGAGAGGGTGCTCTTGCCCCTGCTTATATTGGCCACTGTAGGAAACAGGCCATCTGAGTCCTGCTTTCGTTCGGCAGGACTCTTCTAAGAAAGAAGGTGGGATGTCAATATATCAAAGAAAGAAGCAAGGTCCACTCCACCCCAGGGAACCTTGGCAGTTGCAGCCGAGGGATGAGAAATATGGCTCTCCAATGAAGTATTTTCAGCATCCTCACCAAACAGCCCCCCCAGATTCTTTGAAGGGCTATTATGTTTGCTTCTGAATTAACAAAAATGTACCCCTCTCCAGCTCTAGGCAATGCCACCTGACCGCTTTCAAGTTTGCCAGGACTGCTTATATTATCCTATGTATCCGTATTAGTGAAAAGCTGTCCTACTAAAAATAGGAATAAAATAAAGGAAAAGTACACACATACTTGGGGCTTTTAGTCCTATTTTCCACAGAATGGGGTCAACCTCTGATAATGCATATGGGGGAAGCTCATCTTATTCCTAGTTCTTCCCCTCAAAATAAACAAACATTAATAGAGATTAAAAAGCAGCGCTGTTAAGAAAAGGGATTCTAGTCGAGCCTAACCTTCGTGCTGGCATAATGGTTTTATGCGTGTAGGGAAATACTTGGTGCGCAAGAATGTTATATTGACGGCAGTGCCAACTCCGGGTTTCTTGGGAGAGGCACTCTAAATGCGCCTCTGCGCTCAGGGACTCTGCCTACTTATGGCCTTTGTAAGCGCGCGTTCGTGCTCCTTCCTCATCGTGTTCCCACGTGCTCGCCTGGGAGAAAGGGAGCCCTGGAGCGAGGCGGCGGGGCACCTGCTCTTTCCTCCCCAACACAAACTGGGGCAGAGCAAGAGCCGGCGCAAGGAGGCTCCTCTCCGCAGCCCCACGGCAGGTGCCCATGCATGTCTACCCCGGGCACTAACCAAGCCCCCATCTGCAGCTGCAGCGATGCAACTCGAGTCCTGGTGGGCCGCCTCCATGAGAACTAGGCCCTTGACCCCAAGATCCTGGTGCACGGGGTCTTTCCCCTTCTCGCGGGGGACGGGGCACTGCGGCTGCCTGTGCGCGCGCGTGCTTCCGAAGGAGAGACCTAGGCCGGCGCGGTCCCCGGCTGAGCGCCCGCTTTGCAAGGGAGATAAGGGCGGAGGCGGGCTGCGCGCTCCCCGCGGCGCTACAGGCCCGCCGGCGACGGCGCCCACCGGCGCGAGGGGAGCGTTACCTGGTCCCGGGGCTGCAGGATGCTCGCGGGGCCGCCCCGCCCCGCCCCCCGGCTCCGCTCCCCTCCCCCACCGGCCCGGCACGTGACTTCCGACCCCGCCCCTCGGAGGGCGCGCCAGTGTAACCCTCTCGTCGCCCCGGGCCTGGCGGGGCGGGCGATCCCCGCCCGAGGAGCGCGCCCGCACCAGCGGCCGGCCGCGCGGCATGGAGGGGGCAGGTGCGGAGGGCGGCGCGGCCCCGCGGGCGAGCCCCGGGCAGGGGCCGCCGCCGC